CCAGAGCCAGCAAGTTTGAATGAAACTATTAACTGACTCTCTTGGCTGCAAGAACAAAATTGATGCCAGCAGGGAAGGGACACAGAATGATCATGCAGATTTTATTTTAAAAACAAGATAAAATCATTTAGAAGAATCTCCAGCACTGCATTTATTGAAACTTGAATGTAAATAGCTTCAACATGTCTGTCAACTTAGCGCTTCAATGAAAGCCAAAAAAGAAACAAACGACAAAAAATATCTATTGATTGCCTAGTTTTTGGATTCGCAAGTAACAAAACATTGTCTAGTTTCATTCATGGGAGTCTGTTTCTCTGCTGACTTTGCGAACCATCACATCTCATCCCATTGATTTCTGAGTGCAGCAGTTTGTGCTAGAAACCAGCAGTTAGTAACCAGCAGGCAACCTGAAAACGCTAGCTCTAAAATGAGAACTGTCTATCTTGCTGTCTAAATGGAAAGTCTAGTCTACAGAGCCTTCACCTGAATGCAGCTGAGATAACTCTATGGAAGAAAAGGAGAGCACAGCCAAGGTGGATAGACAGGGAGCTCTACAAGGCTCCTTTTTAATGGCCTGAGATCCAGACTGCCCATCCTGTGACACCTATCACACTTGTGTCACTACTCAATCTGGCGCCCAGCAAAGGAGCCCACGCTCGAACAAGTGAAGCCTTACAATACCAGCAAGTAGGGGTTATTTCAGACCTGCTGTACCAGCGACTGGAAGTCAATGTCAGCATTCACTTACCTTGAATGCGTTTCAGTTAAGCTCTAGACTGAAATGCCTGATTAAGAGAAGAATCAGATCTCAATAAAAGGAAAAGCAAGACCTGACCCATTGCCATAGCTAAAAAGTGACAAAAATGAGAGACACAGTTTGGGAGGATCCCAACAAACTGCAATGCTAAGAGTGACTCTTGTCAGTGATGCTAGAGAAAGGCAACCAAATGGTGAGAGCAGCTGCATATTTGAAGGGAGGTGAGACAGGGTGGCAGATTATTAAATTTTGTCACTCCTGGGAAATGAGCCCTCCACTTCCTTAGACATGAAGGGCATTGAAAACAACCCTATTGTCACCCACGACCAAAAGGATTTAGGCATTAAATACTTTTAAAAATACTTCTTAGGCTTTTGGCCATGGTGTCTCACAGAAGCAGTCTTTAAAATTTTGTCTGAGCGTAAAAGCAATCTCTTTCCTATCTTTGCTGCCCATCAGCTTTTAGAGTCAGCAACACTTGCAAGCATGAGATCTGACCTCCTCTGTAAAGCAGTCGAGTGCTGCTAATTCTTTTTACTTTGTGCCCCGCATCGATGGTCACATCTCCTTTCATGCCATGCCTACAGAATAGCTCTAGCATTTCATCGAAGCAGCTGAGCAGACTGGAAATTCCTTCTGTCGAGCTCTCCCATGCATGGCTGAACTATGACTAAGGTAGTGCCTTTTTCTGTGATATTTGATTTTCTCCTCTCTTTCTTTTTAACCCACTGTGGCTGTTAACACCACCTTCTTGTGTAATGGGGCACTTTTAAACCACCCCTGCTGGAAAAACTGCATCTCTGACCAGAGCCAAAGTCCAGGTCTGAGACACTCTGTGAATGCAGGTGGATGGCTCCAACTCACCTTGCCATAAGAACAGCGTCAGGCTCTTATTTGGAGCAAAGCAAAACAGATGTCACCAGTGTATGAATCACAGGGATGATGGTAAATGTTTTTGCATTTATTTCCCATTCATATCCATTTGAGTCAACGAGAAACAGAAGCCTGTGGTCTAGAAGGAGGGCTCCAACCTGAGGCTCCGTCTAGCAGCACATAACCCTCAGTGGAGAGGCAGTGGAGGCTGCAGTAGCAGCAGGAGACATGGTAACATGAGCTCATTACGTTTTTCTAGCCAGAGCTCACGCCTGGATAGCCCATGGGTTATCACAACAAAGCGAGGCTGCCGGCTCTTGGCAATATGATGGGACAGGGCAGACTCGCCACCGTCTGCCCAGGGGCTCCTTCGGGACGCAGGGGCTGCCCACCCAGGTCTCCCTGCCCCGTCACAGCAGGCATGTCTGTGTGCGAGGCAGAGAAGAAAGAGAAGGAGGGAATGTGTTTTTATCTGAGCCTTGAACGCTGACTCAGGATGATTCATCTGAGGTTTAGAGCGCTTTGGGGAGAACTGAAATTCTGAAAACTGAATGAAATATTTCCTGTATCTTTGCAGTCAGGCAAAACTGAATCCAGTTTATTCTAAACATGCACTGATTAATAGGCTGCTGATTAGCCCAGGTACAGAAAACAATGGTGTCTTTTGACAGGAGATTCCTGCCACTGACCTCTCCATTTAGCCTCTGTTTTTACTGATTTCACCTTAATTGGGATCAGAAAGGAGATGCAGCCAAAACAGAGCTTCAGGGTGAGTGTCACAAAGCAGTTGACAGCTTGCTCATCCGTATCAACATGCAGACACCACAATTAAATTGTTGACATGAATATAGTTCTCCATTTACATAGCAAATACCCATTTGAAGTCCCAAATTTATTGGCAGCACTTGACGGGGTTAGGATCTCATAAATTTTCACTGTATAACAAATAAAACGCTTTGTAGGAATTACAGCGCATCACTCCTCTACTTCCCCACACACGTCTCAGGAAGGCAGCGGGCAGCCCGGCAGCTCAGCAGGAGCAGCTCTCAGCAGGTCCCTCCTGTCCCTGCCCCACTGGCTGGGACTAGGGGAGTGAGCACCCTGCCCAGCACCTCAGCAAACCGTCTGACCCTTCCGCTGTGTAAATGGGATTCATTCCTCCATTAAAAAAAGAAATTTATACCACAAATCGATCTGAAAGAAATCTTGTAAGCTGAAACCAGGACAGAAAAACGACACTTTGACACTTTCATTTATGACCATGCAGCATGTAAAGCAACATGCCGTTTGCTAAATGTCTTGGAGGATATGTTTTTCACTCAGTTTGAATTTATCCACACTCTCCGCTTAGGCCTAGCTTGACTATGACTAATCAGACTATGAAATAGCCCTGAAAATGTACAGAATACAAGATTTGCTTACACAACAGATCTGTTGCTCTGCCTTGAGCTATAGGTTAAGATTTGACCAGATTGAAATTAAGATAAAGGGAGTAACACAGCAGTGAGGGTGTGCAGTGTGAAAATAGATCTGCCTGAAGAGTAGCACTGAAGCTACAACATGCTTCAGCAAAGATAAGCCCAGAGAAGCTTTAAGGTATTGGAAACACAGACCAAGCCAGCTAGGTATGTAAGGGTAATGTTAAGGATAAGAAGACTCACTGACCTCAGCAAAATTGCCCAACTGCGTAAGGATGTGTGCTCATAAAAGTATGCATTGACCAGGACAGAAACCCTAAGCGTTCTGGCTTTGCTTAAGTACTGTGTATTTTGAAGTGTTCCCCTTAGATAGTTTTCCAAGCACACGTTCCAGACTGAGCATCTTTTCCATGAAAAAAGGCAAAAAGTATAAACGCAAAATCTTCATG